CCTGAGAAGGAGAAACAGCAGCGGGCAGAGGAAGGAAGAAGGGAAAGAGCCAAAAGACAGAAAGAGGCCAGAGAATCCAAGTGTTAGAGGAAAGCGAAAATTTAATATTGTACAGACTTAAAATGCGCAAGTGAAAGATTGTTTACAAACTTCCTGAATATTATCAGTGCAGAACAGCTATGGAGACACTTTACCCTGACGATCTATACCAAACGTAGTCTGCTTACCATGTCACATGGTTGCATCTTGAGCAGTGACCTGCCCAGGGCAAAGGACCCTGCCCCCCGACTCGCAGATTTTCTAACGCTTGGGCAGGTGGTTACTGCATGTTCCACATCAGTCAATGCAACTTAGGACAAAACTAAACAGGACACAAAAACAGAGGAGAGGCTGCCGGGACCAGCATATTTCCCTTGCAGCCACATGGATCTTATTTTTTCATTTTGTTGATTCTCAGAAGCAGAAAGCATCACTTTAAAAAGTTCGTTTGTTCATGCAAACTATATTTGCATTCCTCCATTAGTTAAGCTACGCAGCAAAAGAAAACACACACACACACACACACTCACACTCACACTCACACTCACACTCACATGTAGCCCATGTCATTTAATTGTCAGTTTCTTTGACATAAACCGCATCTTCTCCACATGGGCTGCACGTGGTTTGGAGATGGGTGGGGGCAAACAATCAGGTTTCTTCAGGCTGAGGAGGACTTGCTCAGGCCGATTCCAAACATTGTGCTCGTTCAATGCGTGGAAATGATTTGCATGATGGCATGCCGTGATCAGAAGTCATGCATGAGAACCATACACCACAGGACGCTGCTCATCCTGTCCCCTGCACTGGGTCAGCCTTCCAACAGGACCCAGCCCTGCACCGTTCACTGTATTTGGGAAAAAAAATGGTAAGAGTTCCATACCCACCATAATTCTTTATGAATTCTTAGAAGCCTTTCATACACCTGATAGGGAAACATAACCAACCAATTGACCACGTCCAACAAAAACAAACCCAATCCAACAAGCAGATGGATCCGTGTGTGTATATGTTTAACAGACATCTCTTACAGCCATTGTTGCACATTTTGAAAGATGAACTGTTTAATGCTGCTCTGTGTCCCGTACGTGGGGAAATTTTGATCTCAAATGGCTTGTATTAATAATGTCACTGTAAAACCAAATCCTAGGGCTAAACACAAAAATCAAAAGTTCATCTGGAGAACTGACACTTATTTGGGATAGAGGTAAAAATGCTATTCAGAGTAGTATGTTATCTCTAGGGGGTAACTTGGGGAACTTACAACACCTTTCGTTGGGGGTGAAGGGGTGCTCACTTCATCTGGTATCACGCCCTTCTGCATGTGGCTTCCTCTGGGCTCGGGTCCACATGGAGAGGGGTTCAGACGGTCTGAACAGGCCTCCCTTCTGCAGAGGGGTTGTCCCAAGCTCACACACTGCATGATCCCTCTCACCTCCCTCACATTTTCCACCGAGCAGGGCTTCCCTTGCCCACAGAGGTGGGTGAGGGCAGCAGCACTGGGGCTATGGCTGCAGTTTCTTCACGTACTGTTAGAATAACTCATCACTGGTGGGACCTGAGGTAGTGATGGCGCCTCCTCTGAACCAAGCCCACTTGGTTTCTTTATTGCACTGATTCTCACGAGAAAACAACTTATTTATTCTTAAAATGTTCCAGCTTCCCCCAGCGCATTCCCTTCCAGCCAGTTTTGCTGTCTGCTTAGCAACCTGCTCATTGCCATTGGAGAATGGCTTTTGGGGGGAGCGTCCTCTCTCTCATTCCATCTCCTGCTTTAGGGAAGACAGTTTTTAGTAGCCCAGGGGTTTCTTGTCTGATGACTAGATTTTAAAGCCAAGACGCTGCAGTTGAATGTGTCAGGAAGTCTATACAAAGAATGAGGAGAGACTTTCGCTTGCTAACCAAATCAAAATGAATTTTCCCTGAACCTTATAACAGAGGGGAGGGAAAGAACCCATAATCAGACACACCAATCTGCCTTGCAGTAGACGCACTTTGGATGTATGTCCACCTGACTAGTTTTGCGTAGAACAAACCACAGCGAGTCGGGAAGCAGAGCTTTCTGTCCTGCTGGACCATTCGATGCGGGCCAGCTCTCGTAAGCCTGCTTCTGTGGCACCACGGTGGAACTTTCGCACTACGCCCAACACGAGGTTGAAAAGGCATCTCTTTAGGTGACCCTGCTAACCGCTAGGATGAATGCATAGCATCGTGTACAGGTTACATCGTAAACAGCACAAAACAGAAGCTGACGTGTGTGGTTATTCTTTTTAAGAGAATTATAAATACTGTAATATATCATTTTATTTTATTGGCATGCCTTTTTGTAAATACAAAATTATTAACGTACTAAATAGGAAATGGCTTCTGGCTTATGCCATTGTCATGTTTATTTTTATTTTTTATACTTTCCTTTCTTTCTTAGAACTTAGATGCTGTCAGCCAATGTACATCCCCAAACCAGACAGACAGACAAAAAAATTTTTTATTGCTAATGGTCTTTTCCAAAACAACACAAATATATATTTTTGTTCCAATGTGCAATAAATTCTAACCACTTCTATGCAAGATTTGGCTAAACTTCATAACTGTTTCTTAGGATTGAGATGGGCAAGAGAGCTATAAGGTCCCACTCGCTACCCCAAGTGCTCGTGCTAACGATACCGTTAAGCTATTAGAACATATTCATGAGTCTTTTCTGATATCTGACCCTTTCCCTCCCCCCAGACCTGATCCCAGCCCAGCAGGCTATCTCCTCAGGCACACGCGGGCCTTGGTATCTGACACCCATCAGCCAGCTTCACAGGAAAGACGCCACCACCACTCTATTTGAGGTTTCACTTTTTTTTTCTTCAGATTTTTCCCACCATCTTTTTCCTCCCCTCCGTCCCTCCACCCACCCACCACTCTCACTCACTCACCTGCCCTGCTCCACACTTCTTTGGTAGTAAATGACACCATCACCAGCAGTTTACACCCGCAGTTAACAGGCATTGAACCGAGAGAATCAGTGGTGACGTTTCTGTACGTCTTCACTGAGTGGGTAAGCGGCAACGCTTTGCCAAATATTAACGAAGCCAATCAAAAAGCAGCAGCAGCCACAGTATCACTGCACATATATATATATATAGATATATAAATACAATATAAATATTTATTTTTTGTAGCCAGGTCCTTGGTGCAGTATTTATACTCCACAATCCACCTTTAAAAAAGGACAAAAAGCAAAAAGACGTGTGTGATGCTGTTCATTTAAAATGCAGAGCCAAAGCCACTGAGCGGCAGCGGACACGGTTGCTGGTTTGTGTGGAAAAACACCTTCCCCCTCTTTCCTTGATCTCTTTGTTACTCGCAATGAGGAGACTCCACAATCGAAAGCAGAGGGCGAGAGCAGGGACAAACGGGGGTCGGCATGTCCAACTCCCACCCTCGCCGAATGGGCCTCTCTTGGCACCAGAAGTTGACCTGGGAGAGTTAAATAGAAACTCCCAATCAAAGCCCCTGGAACAACAGTGCCCAGAGCTCTTTTATTTTCTGCCGCAACCAACGTAAACTTGTGCAAGACCAATAGTGAAGATTAGTGTATTAGTGAATGCATGGGGGCCACCACTGCTCTAAATGAGACATGACAAAACGTACATCACTACTATCATCCAAAAAAGGAGACATAATAAAAACGACCCTTTTTCCTGTACAAGGGAAGCCTGTCTTGCTGTGTGTGTGTTGCTTGACTATCCCAATTCTTGAGTCCTGGGAGGGGTCTGGGAATTGGGACCTTAGCACATCTGGGGAAAGGAGAGGAATGGAGAGAGATCAGGGTCTCTAGCCACATTCTGGCTGAGAGGTAGAGATTGGAGAGAAAAGCAAGGTCCTGACACCTGCCCACCCCCACCCCCACCCCTGCATTCGCCCATTGCATGCCTCACACCTCCGTAGGCCAGGCCGGTGCTTACAGGCCCACGAAACCCCTTCCTCACCAGTCCAGCTGGCAGAGCCCCAGGGATGATATCAGCCAGCCCAGCTGGGCTGGCCTTCTGCCTTTTTCACCAGTTTGTGAAAAAAATCTAACCCAGTGCCCCCAAGCTCAGGCGTGCACGATGCCCAGCAGCCTCCACTCTGCTAGCTATGCTGGGCCTTGCCCTCCATCACCCCCAGATAAACCAGCGCACCAGGGCTGGCCTCGTTCACATTTGTGCAGGGATGAGGGGCCCCCCTCCGCTGCCCTCACCCTGCCCTGCTTTGGGGACATCCCTCTCTAGGCCATGTCTCCCGATCCAGAAACACTCTCAGGAGGATTCTGAAGTGCCCACTCTAGTCTGCTCCAGTAGCTCCACTCTGGAGAGAAATGGCTGGTAGGTCAGTCCCCATCCTCCCCCGGTCCCCAGCCTCCAGGCCTAATATGGAGGTGAGATTGCCATGGATTACGACTTTGTGACTTGAGTCCTGGGCATCTTCTGTAGCGATGCCTCTTTCTTTTCTCAGATGTTGCCCAAAGTTTTGCAAAAAGCTTCGTTCATTTTCAGGTACCCCCACCCCCTAAAGAATTGGCTGCAACTAGCCAGCCAGGGGGACAGCAGGAGAGAAGAGGAAGTCGGGATTGGGAGGGGCCCAAGGTTTGCACAGAGTCTGCATTGTGGCTTAGCTCTATGCTTTCTTGGATTCCCTTTTTAAGATTACCAAGATTTCCTCCATTAAACGCTGCTGAGGCACCCCCTGCCCTTGTCCCCCACTACTGTTTGCTGTACATAGAGGCTAAGGGGGGTGGGGTGGGGTGGGGTGGGTGTGCACTTGTGTGTGTGTGAAGAATGTATATAGGTAAAGGGGAGCGGGGCCAGTGGTTCCAGAAAAGGGACAGAACTCCTGTGTTCCATTCCCAGCTCGGCCGCTGGCTCGCTGTGTGGCCTTGGGCAAGTCACTTAACCTCTCTGTGCCTCAGTTTCCCCATCTGTAAAATGGGGATAATAATACTGACCTACCTCACAGGGGTGTTGTGAGGCTTTAACTAAATGTTGTGTAAAATGTTTTGAGATACAGAGGCAAAGGCACTAGGGAAGGGCGAAGTGTTATTTGGACTTAAGGAAGATGAAATGGTACCATAAATGCTGCTATTCTGAGAGCCATTTTAAACTGCACTGCTCCAACCACTCCCGCTTCTCATCACCAGGACAGCAGGTCGAGAAAATATCTTTCCTTTCACTTGCTTCTGGGGTTTGTGATTATTCTAAACACTTAATTTTTTTCCCTTGCTGTATCTCCTCCCCTCACCGCCTCAACTTGTTCCCTGTTCCGTTTATGCGGAAATGGCAGAGATGCTTGAGAAATGAGAATGTATAAGTGGGTTGGAAGTTTATAGTCTGAAATTTCAATTTTACTTTGTACTGTACATCTTTTTACTTTAGAATTTGCAATAAAGGGTTACGTCAATCCTGTTTTCAACTCTCCTCTTGGACTGGCCTGTCATTCTGTCATCGCGCTCACACCGAAGCCCCTCCGCCCAGGGAGGATGGGGAGTCCCGCGCTCGCACCCAGCAGGACCCCACCGCTGCCCTCCTGCCCTCCCCTGGGGCCCGGGCACATAATCTGAGCAGAGTCTGTGTGAGGTGCTTGGTCTGGCGGTGCCCAGCCATTCAGGGGGTGGGAAAGGTTTGGGGCTCTTGGGAGACCCTCACGAGGCCTTGCCAGGATGGGGAGAGAAGCTTGGCAGCAGCCCCTGGGCGTGGGCACACCTCTAGCTGTGGCGCCCCAACACGGCCAGCATTTTGTTCTGGCCCCGTTATGCTTCCCACGCCCCCTTACTGCCCACAGACCATTTCCTCTGGGGCCACACCTGCAGCTCCGGCAGCTCCGGTTCCAACGCCGTCCTGTGCCCCTCACCAGAGGCGGTTAGGGACTCCTAACCGGAGTTTCCCATGTGTAACGGAGTTAATACCTTCGGCCTTGGGTTTTGGAAATTAGATCAAACGATGTAACTGCTTCGCCATAGCGCCTGGCACATTGTTAGTGCTCAGTAAATGGTAGCTCTTAGTGGAAGAATAAGTTCAAAATAAGGTCCTCACGCTGACAAGAAGGGGGGGGGGGGGGCTGCCTCCTGCCCGCCTGGCAGGCTGGCCCCGGGCTTTCCTCTCTATTTACAGCGCCCCTGGATATGCCCGTCATTTCCAACTAACAAACCGATCGCTCCCTCCTTTGTGGGTTCTGTGACTTTTATAATACGTCGCAGGGAGCACTCCCCCAGACGGTGCCCACTTTACAGCCGGGGGCACTGGGGTGCGGGAGGATCCGGCCCATCTGCAGCCCAGGCCCAGGCGCCCGGCGACACCAGCCGCTCTTCAGTCAAGAGCGGCTTTGCCTCCCACCAGCCGTGCGCCTCCGCGGGCCCGCGCCGGGCAGGGGCGGTGGCGGGCGGGCCGGGGCTGCCCGGCCGCACCCCATCGCCGTCGCCGTCGCCGTCGCCGTCGCCGCCCGTGATCCACAGCGTGAGCAGGATGAGCAGCGCCCCGGCGCCCAGCGACCCCACGAAGCCAGCGAAGAAGCCGAGCGCCAGCGGCCCGGCCCAGCCTGCGGGGCTGCGCTCGTACGGGGCCTGCGGCAGCCGCTCCACGATCAGCTCCAGCTCGTCCCAGTTAGGCTCGGAGGCCGAGGCGCGGCGGGAGCGCGGGGCCGGGGCGGGGGCCGGGGCCGGGGCCGGGGCGGGGGCGGGGGCTGCCGCGGGGACCCCAGCCGGCGCCGGGGGCTGGTAGCGCTGCCCGGACTGGCGCAGCTGCAGCGCCGCCTGCTGGTGGAGGTTCTTGCCCAGCTCCCGGGCCACGTCGGGGCGGCCGCAGCGCCGCAGGGCCCGGGCCACGCGGTCCCAGGGCAGGGTCGGGGCCTCGGCGGCCAGCCAAGCTGCCAGCCCCTCCCGGCAGCCGTCGGAAACCTCGGGGTCAGTCGCCTGCCGCCGCCGCCGCCGCCGGCCCGGCGACCCCGACGTGGGCCCCGACGGTTCCGCCTGGGCCAACCGATCCTCAGAAAGTCTGGCCAGCTCGGCCTCAACGTCCGGGTCCGGCGCCTTCAGAAGCGACTGGAAATGGCTGCACTCCTCCGGGGTCAGCAGCTCGGCCAGACGGACGGCTGTGTGAGGCCCCATGGCGTCCAAGGCCCCCGCCAGAACCAGTACCGAGCCCCAGAGTGCCACGCCTAGGGCCCCGCCGGGAGCGGGGGCCGCCATCGCCTGGCGGTGACGGAGGAGCTCCGAATGCGCACCGGGAGGGGAGGGGAGGGGCGGGGCGCTAACACCCACGGGTGGTGGGGAGGCGGGGCGGGGGGGGGTCCACATTCAGCAACTGGGGCGAGGGAGCCCAGCACCCCAGGACCTGGAAGGGGGCTTCCAATACACGCAACTGGTTGGAGAGACAGCTCCCAACACACAGAAATTAAGACGGAGGGACCCACAAAATCCAGGAATTGGGAGTTTCCCGGCACCCCTGGGTGGGTGGGACTCAGTCCCCCTGAGACTGGGAGGGGCTGCCCCACTAAGGCCTCAAATTTAAAAAGTCCCGGGCATCTCTTCTAGCCCATTTCCTGCCCCCCCCCCCCCCATCCTCCACCAGAAGCCCTAGACCCCTAGCCCTCCGTTATCTCTGGTATCCAATCAATACCCAAATTCTCTTCTTTCCAGATAAATACTAAACATTTCTAGACTGTCATTTCCCATCCTCTGACATGGCATCCAAACCTTCACCCAGGCTTGTCTGGGTGAGGCAAGCTCCTCCTCCAGGCCCCAGCTCCCTACACACACACACACACACACACACACACACACACACACACACCGAGCCCACTCACACCCAGCCAGTGGCTCTGGCTCGCCTTTGGATCTTGGCTGCACTCTTAGTTCTGCCTGGGCCACTCCTCCGCTGACAGGTCTCTTCTGGAAAGCCCTCCCTGACTCCATCCTCTCCACTCCTACAGCTCTGCCTTTTCGTTGCCTCCCCCATTCCACCGTGAAGCCCATCTACTGTCCCCATAGCAACCAGTGCATCATTATTTAGTAAAGATTTCTTGAATCAGTGTGCGAATTAACTTTCAAATCAGTTGTGTCCCACCCACCCACCCACCCACCCAAACACACACGAGATTCGAGATTCATGGTGGAGCCTCCACTCTCCACAGGGCATGTGAGGTCCTCCCGGCGCAGTGGCTCCGTCCCAGTGATTCTTCCAGCCTCACTTCCCCCAACTCCCGCCCTCACTTCATGCTCTTACAGCAAATCCCATGGAGGGTGCAGTTGCCAGCCTCCGTAGCTTTGCTGCTGTCCCCCGTCCTGTCCAGGAAGTTTTTCCAACACCCACCACCACCACTGTGAGTCAGGGTCTTTTCTGGGCCTTCTCTTTTGTTTGTTTTAATCCTCACCAGAGGATATTTTTTCCATTGATTTTTTGAGTGGAAAGGAGGGGAGAGACAGAGAGAGAGAGAAACATTGATGTGACAAAGACACATCGGTTGGTTGCCTCCCGCACACATCCCTAGTGGGGCCAGGGATCAGGCCTTCAACCAAGGAACATACCCTTGACCAGAATCGAACCTGAGACCCTTCAGTGTGTGGGCCGACTCTCTAACCAAAAACAAACTGGCAAGGGCCCGGGCATTCTTGAGATAACTGTGCATCCTACATCAAGACACTTATCTGTAAATTAATTAATTAATTCAAGGATTTATTCATTGTCTTCCATGTACCAAATACTGTGCCAGATGTGAGAATAAAAATTCTGATCTGGCCCCTCCTCAAGCAGCTCTATGCAGCTGTGTTTTCAAAGGATCCATTTTTCAGCTTTCCCTACCCTACACTCTGGGCTCTTCAGAACCGTGGTTGTGCTTAATCATTTCTATATTCTCAGTGCCATGCACACAGCAGGTGCATAATAAACCAACTAGAGTACAAGGGGGGTCTGGACATCCAAGGCCGGAGAGAGTTGGGGTCACTGAACCCTGGGGCAATGCCCTGGAGCCCTCATGCCCAGGCACACCCCCAGATGCTTCTCTCAGTGGGGAGAACCATTTGCTTTGTCTCCTGAAAGCCTGGTGTATATACCAAGCACTGAGCCCTGGGGCCACTACTCCCCTTGGACTCTGGTGCATTTTCAGCAATTTTAGAGCATTTGTCAAGGAAGCTGTGAATCCAAACCTCACGGGTATCTCCACACAGTTTTTTCAGCAACATGCTCCTTCCTAGTTTTATCAGTCTCCGGGTTTATGCTGAGTTGTCAAAGATAGTTTGGGGATTGACAAATGGTGGCGGATAAAGGACCTTGGGACCTTAAGACTAGAATTCAGCTAGCTCTTTCCTCTGCCCTCTGCCCACTTTCCCTCCATGCACTCATTTATTCCTTCATTTACTCATTCAACAAACATGTAAGCCTTTCTTGGCCCCCCACACTTCAGAGCTCTGGGGATATGAGTCTGGCCCAATTCTGAGCCTCTGAGAGCTCAGAATTGCATGAGAGCTTTCCCTACCCAGGGGCTTTTTGGAGCCTGAGAGTATAGCCTTTCACCTGGTGGCCTCAGGGCCCAGTGCCTGGTGGGCACTGCTTGTGCCAGATTGAATAGCAGGGGTTCCACAATAATGTTGTGCTCAAGGAACAGTAACACCCATAGCACCACACCAAGGGCACTGACAGGCCTGGATGTCCACGCCGTCCCCAGAGGGCTCCCCACATCTTGCTACCCCCAAGAAATCCTCTGGAGACCACATGTCATCGTTTTAATACTGTGTAATACTTTCTTTTAAAATACAGTCTCTTCTGAGGTAGACAGACCACAACTGCAGAGCATCTTCAGACAGGAGATAAATACGTCCATGTACAACACACAGCAAAATGAGGTAGAAATGGTTACAGCTGGAGGAGAGGACCCCGACCCCAATCTGGGTGGAGGAAGGAGAGGGCCAGCTTGCTGTGTCTGCCCTCCCCCAACCCCTGCCCCTGGATTCTTTGGTATGCCCCCCCAACATTGCCAGAGCCGGACCTGCCTTCCCCCACCCAACCCAGTGCCCATGAGGTAGGTGCTAGTAGACTAGGGGATGTCTCCTTGTGCAAAGTTCCCCAAGGCCAGTAGAAGAGGCGGTGGGTCTCAGTCAGCGAGGCCCCCCAACCCCCCAGAGCCGCCTGCCTCTTGAAGGGAAGGGATCCCAACCCCCACTTCCCTGAAGCCCTCCCCCCATATACATACACACCTGAGAGAACCTCCTCACTCCTGGCTCCCTCTAAGGGCCTTTCACAGCCAAGACCCTGCAGCCCACCCCACTGCTTCTGAGGCAACAGTCCTGCAAACAGCCAGCTCCGAGGAGAGGAAGGCCAGCAAGAGACCAGGCGTGAAGAGGGGGAACACAGAGCAGCTTCCCTGGCGGCCCTCAGCACCTTGGCACCCGAATGCTCCCCCTGCACACCCTTCCAGCTGGGAGGGGGGGGAGGTGCAGAGACTGTAGCAGCTGAAAGGGCAGGCAGGTACAGGGAGGGAGGCTGGGGTGGGAGAGAAAAGAAGTTAGGGGTGAGGGCTTGTCCCCCCCCCAACTTTGGACCAAAGGTCAGAGTTGTGAAATGGGCTCCCGAGGGGGAGGTGGCAAGTGGCTGAAGCCCCATCAAGGGAAGTTGGTAGGAAGAGGAGGAATACGGTTCTCAGAAGAGAGCCCAAGCCTGGGCTTCTGGTGGAAAGTGTGGATGTGACTGAGAATAAACCCCCAATGTTAGCATAAAACAGCCTGCCCCCCTCACACTGCCTGCCAAGACCTCGACCCTAGGAGAACGAGAAAGGAATATTCCCCACAGAACCTCTCCTGTGTCAGATGCTCACTGCTCATCAGAGCCTCCTAGCGGACAGAGAAGGTTGAGTCTGTAGTCAGTTTTGTGCCCAACCAGACTTGTGGCCAAACTGTCTTTCCCTCCAGAAGCAATCCCCTTAGCCTGGATTATAGGAGACCTCTGCCTGGTCAGTGGCCAGGTGGACTGACCGCTCTGAGGACTTTCTGCCTCTGTCACCTTCCCATTGGGGCCTCTCAGGCTACTCTGGGTCTGGGGCAGGAAGTAGGCGAGGACAACCCAAGTCTGGTTAACCCTTCACAGAAAATACTAAGCTGAGAGTGGGACCCAGTTGGAGGAGTAGCAGAAAGGGGGCCAGACTCACCTGATCTCAAATCCCACAACACGCTCCCCAGCACCCCTGCCTACAACCTTGGACTGGGAGGAAGCCTACAAATACATTCTGCTTCCCTCTGTCCCAGGAAGAGCAGGGGTCTAAGTGTAGCCCTGGGTCCTCCTCCGCCCTGCCCCACAAGTCTCACTTTCCAAGTCTTCCGGGAAAATGTGCTCCCCTGAGGGGCAGGGTGGGTGGTGGGATCACACAGGAGAGTAGCCGACGTCTAACATTCTTTCTGAGGTCAGTTTCTTCCTGAGTTGTCAAAATAAAAAGAAAAACAGCAAGTTCTACACATCTTACAAAAATAAGAGGCCTAAATATTAAACAAGCTACATTCCTGGGACTCCCCCCTCAAAAACAAACAACAACAAGCCCTTCTTTGGGTGGTTTTTGCTTGACACCTCCCGCCAGACCCAGGTTTCAGCTGGGTAATGGGGTGGGCGGGAACTCCCTATCCCCTCCTCCTCCGCCGCGGGACCTCCAGATCTCCTGCAAAGGGACACTGCAGTCTTTGAATGAGAGGGACAGAAGGCAGGGAGAAGGACCAAGAGGCACCGAAGCTAGAGAGCAAGGGATGGAGACAGCAGAGGGTGATAGATGGAGATAGGGGAGGGAGGAGCAAACGAGAAACTGGGCCAGGATCGGGGGACTGGAGGAGTGGTGACAATAAGGCAGAGAGAGAAAACTAAGCGAAAGCAAAGAAAGAGGGGAGAGTGGGGGGAGGAGGAGGGAGGCATCCAGATAGCGAGGAGACACAAGAATTGTGGTGAGAGCGCAGGAGTTCCTTAGGCCCCCCAGGCAGACTTGCCCGTCTGAGGTGCGGAGATGGCAAGCTTCCCGTCCACAATAAATAGAAAAAACCTGAGTACACAGCGCATATGGCATCTATCTGCCTAGCAGAAGCATTTTCCTTCCCACGGAAAAAAAAAAATCCACCAACAGCCCCCTTTCCTCCCTCCCCACATTCATCACTGCACCCTCCCAGCCAGGTGGGTTACAGACATCCCTCCCAGGACCGGGGAGGGAGGGGTGGCGGCTCCCGCGCCTCCCCCTC